AAATCAAAAATGATAATTCTTTCATTATTCGAAAAAGGGATGTATCATTGAAATAAAATCTTTGTTATTAGAAATTAGAAATCTAATTTTAGTCAACCTGTACGATACATCAAAATGCAAGCGTCTGCCATCTAGTTAGTAGGGGACGAACTGAAATCATTTGAGCGAGTCACCTGAGCAGATGACTTTCATAAATTATAGTTCTTCTTGACAAGAGGGGAACATTTATTAAAATGGATTTGAGATCGAATTATGGAAGACAGTGGTAAGGAGGACACTTCCAAATGGGATTCCAATAAACGGCTACTGAAAAGCATCAGATGACGACTCAGAATCTGAATAAAATATGAGCGACCGATTTTGATTCTTGCTCCATCTATTAACATGTATTTTGGTACAAATTTGGTACAGTTAAAGTAGGAAAGTTAAAGTTTGGTCAAATTCTACCCATCAATTAGTACTTGACAATTGGTAATTTTTTTGTATAAACGTGTCTTTTGGAGAGTGAGGCGATCATTTTCATTTGCTATTCACTGAATTTGCACAAATTAACCAATAAAGTTTTCTTATGGACGACAGAAATAATCTTTTTCCGGTTGTTTGAAACACTATATGAAATATCGACATAGGTTACGATTTGCCATCTAGTGTACAATAGTTGAGGTAATGTAACATTTCCTCAAAACTTTCAATATATTTGGTACCTCTACTTAGACAAAAGATGCCGGTAGTACGTGACTAAAATAAAAATTCTTCAGAACATTCTTGAATATACTGGAGACGAGCTTCATCATTGAACTATTTGATGGATTTTTGTAGACCTAAATTTTTATTTTGCACTTCTGTGGTATTCAATGATACCTTTCAAAGTTATAGAGTCATAGGTTTGAATTGAATTCTATGCGTGTAAAAATCTCAATAGACTGTTGTCTTCGACATTTTGTTCCCCAAGTGATTTTTGCTCACTTTGTACATATCATCATCCTGTTATAGACCGTTTTGATGATTCAGTCAGATAATTTTTCGAATGAGCAATTTAAGTGAGTTGATTTGTGATCCCTCACTATTTGTTTCAGAATCATTACCATTAGTGACTTGAGAACCTACACATTATTTACTTCTTGTTGTTAGCCAACATTTTTTTTAATTTTCATCGAATTTTTGAACCATTAAAATAAATTCCTGAAAATTTTCCCGTAAACACCTCATGAAGTCAATAAATTTAAATTTTAATCGAATTTTGAAACTATTTATGAATTCTTTTTCATGTGATGTTAGTATTTTTATATTTAAGGTTTCATATTCTTTTTTATAGTGAAGAGAAAAGAAGCAAGCTATAGTTCCATAGCTAGAATATAAGAATAAGATGTTCCATTATTTTTTCCCTTCAGGTATTTTTCGTTCATATCAATGATATTGTCGTTAATTTTCCTAACTAACCATGATTATAGGTGAATACTCAATCGATGAGATGATCTATGAAACACACATTTCACTAGATAAATTGCTTTTTAGAATATTAACTGTCTTCGAATGCTTCAGAAATCTTCAACATTCTCTTTAAACCTTTCAATAAAATTAGCATGAATGAGTAAATTATCGAGTCAAAATTTTTCACGAAATTCTTCGGAATATACATCGAGAGTAACCTTTACAACTCAAAAGAGCAATTTTTCGTTAAAGGAACCATTCATGCTAATAGTATATTTTACTTATCAATTATTGAATTAATGAAGTAACGGACTTCTGTACACGAAAAAAAAACATATTATAACAATTTGATTAGGACTTGTCGATACTTGATGAAAATTCATGATGAAACATATTACTGTAGTATTACAATTTGTAGTAGGTTGTTTCAAAAGTTTCGTACGTTTTTATGAGTCTACTTCAGACTGTAATATCTTGGTAGGAAAATACTTATTCAACTTGATCGAACTGAGCGCCATTTGAACCAGTGTCCTTTTGTCAACGTACCACAAAAGTCAAATATTTTCGTCAGCATAGAAATCGTTTGCTTGGGATTCGATGAAGTCGACGAAGGCTGTTTTATGCCTGAAGTGCTTGAAAAGATTAAGGCGGTTGACGAGAGGTTTGGAGAGGCAAAACTTAGACGCTCAATTTGTTTAATTTTCAGCCGCTAACCACCATACAGTCCATGGTTGTTTTTGGTGGGTTCTTACTTTTGGAAAGTGCCTGGGTGGCTCAATCGGTGTCCAACCACTGCCCTGAGCGTCTTCTGTTGTCGCAGAGGATCCGCTTTTCATCACACGTGACGAGCCAATCCAAAAAATTATATCACTTTTGTCCTCCAGGAAGTGTCTTGAAGAAAAATTAAAAAGATCCTGAAGAAGTCATTGCACCAGCATATATTCCATATGTATTGACTGTCTCCTTCGAGTTTTATTGAATAGTTATTGGTCATGTGATGGAATTGGCCGGTACTTGTAGAGTGATACGCTTGTTACGGAATGAAGTATTACTTGAATTACTTTTTGGCCTACAAATCTGTAAAATTGAGCATCAGAATAGGTTCCTACTCAGATAGATGTAGATACTCATAACATTCATCATTAACTGATTGTCTGAAACTAGGTAGGTAGGTAGGTCTAAAGTGAACGGGTCTATTCGACCCTCCACCGCAACCCATAAGGGTTTATTATGGCTCACACCTATTCACACTCGGCCAAATAAACCCAGCTTTTCAACGAAGCCGATTAGTTTGTATGGTGAGTGGTCTTTCAGGTCAGATGGTAATAGTACGGATCTGCCGAACTCAAAGAACCTGATTCGGTCCCCAGCGGGGCAGGCACAAAGTATATGCTCTGTAGTTTCATCATTTTCCAGACAGAGGCGACACACACTGTCTTCCGACAGTCCAAGTCTCTGCATGTGATGATTCAAATGACAGTGACCTGTAAGGAAGGCCTGTTAGATATCGTAGTTCATCCCTATGTTAGTCCAACAACTGTTTGGAATCAAGCTTCGAAGGGTGAATAAACGCCTTGGAGGGAGCCAATCCTGGAAGATTCTGCCAGAAGACCATAACTCTTCTTGCCATCCAGGTGTTGAATGTTTGTTAGCCAAAGCCCAAAGCGATGCCAATGACACTTTCTGCTTCAATGGAGCCGCTTGCAGCACCCTCCTTTGCAAAAGAGTCAGCAGCTTCATTGACTTCCAGGCCAGTATGGCCAGGAATCCTGACCAGAGACAATCTGTTCAGTCTTCCTATCGGGGAGAGTCTTTTTTGGCAGTTTGCTACCTATTTAGACGTTGCTCGGTGGGAGCCAAGAGCTTTCAACGCCGCTTGACTGTCCGAGAATATTTTTATTGACTTTTAAGTGAAGTTGGATTTATCCAATCTCTCCGCACACAATTCAATAGCGTAAATTTTGGCTTGAAATACAGTCGCATAAGTTCCTATGCAGGTAGATATCCCTGTCCTGGGTCTGCGACTGAAAACACCTGCATCAGAACCGGAAGGTGTTTTTGATCCATCTGTGATCCATCCTTCCATCCATCCTTCTCCCGCAGGATCCAGTCCTCTCTACTCGGGAATAGTACTTTATAAGGCTGTTCGTAGTTGACAGTTGGAGGCATAAAGTCAGAGGTCATGTCCATAATGCTGTGACTTCCAATGTCAACCAACAGTCTGTTGCACTCTGCATTGAATTGATTTGTGCAATTGGCAATGTGCACAAGTCTGTATGCAGTCCATCTAGCCTCTCTTTCAAGAAAAATGTGAAGAGGAGGTAGATCTGGAAGGATCTCCATGACCGATGACGGTGTGGTACTGATGGCACCACTGATTGTCAGACAAGCCTGTCTTTGTAAGCCAGAGAGCTTCGCTTGGGCCGTTTTCTGTAAAGTCTTCGGCCACCAAGCAATTGCACTGTACGTGATCATTGGTCTGACAATCATCACATAAATCCAATGGATTTGTTTGGGACCTAAACCCCAAGTTTTACCACAAATCCTTCGACATGTCCATAGAGACAGTCTGGCTTTGTGTAAAACTTTTTCCATGTGAGTGTTTCAGGCGAGTCTTTTATCAAGGACAATGCCAAGATATTTCACCTCCGTTCCAAATGGAATGATCACACCATTGAGGAAAAATAGCGTTAGATTGTCCATTTTCCTTCTCTTGGTGAAGGGGATTAACAAAGTTTTGCTGGGGTTGACAGACATCTGCTTCCTCAGGCACCAACTGTGAACAACGTCCAACGCGCTTTGGAGAATATTACAAGCTACCCTTCCCGACGTGAACCCTGCCAGGATGACAAGGTCATCTGCATAAGCTTGCAGATCAACCTTTCTTCTGTCGAGGGAATCAAGCAGACTATCCACCAGGAGCGACCACAGGAGGGGAGATAATACCCCACCTTGAGGGCAGCCCCTGGTGACCCTGAACCTTATAGCCTCGCCTTGAAGTCTGAAACTATCGTTATAATTGTTTTTGTTACACTCTACTACTGACTTTTTTCCTCATATCGAAGTCTCTTTACATGTGTCTATTGTGGAAAAAATACTGTCACAACCATTTGAATTGAATCATATTGTTTTCATTCAAAATCGATTTTTTATGGGACACCTCCAGTTGTCTGAAACAATTGAGATTTATGATTCCTTGAAATCCAGTTGAGAATAAAATTACATACTTTAGACTAGGTACACATAAACTATTTTTTTCAGCTGTATAATTGTTTTCATTGAAGAAAAAAGGATTCTTAAAATATTTATGAATCATTGTGTCCAAACATACATACACAGAATAATGAAGGAATTATAATGGCGAAATTTCAATAGTTTCATGCACACCTAATGACTCATTAATTATAGGCGTTGGTTTTATTAGTACTAGGTCAAGGTTCTGATCTCAATATTTACCTAATACCTAGGTAATCGATCTACTTCTGTCGGTGTGTCTAGTGAAAGTATTTTTGGTAAACCCGAAGGCGATATGTTTTACATATAAAAACCAGCCTGATGAAAAAATAATCATAGTTGAATCTATCCAGCAAACATGGCATTCAAAGTAAGTTATTATATTATTTCAAAAATATATTGAACATTTTTTCTGAATTGTAGTCGTTTGTAGATTTCAACACTGTTTCTTCTTCTAAAGAAAATGTGATATGAAACCAGTGACACTATTCCTGCCACTGTTTCATTTAATTTTCAAATTATTTTCATTTCAGTTCGTAGTATTCGCTGCCTTCGTCGCAGTCGCTCGTGCTGGCGTCCTTTCAGGATACGCCGCCCCCTTGAGCTACGCCGCCCCAGCTGTAGCAAAAGTAGCTTACTCTGCTGCCCCGGCTGTCTCATACTCCAGCGTATCAGCCCCAGTAGCCTCCTATGCCAAAGTTGCTGCCCCAGTCGCCTACTCAGCTCCAGTCTACTCCCACGCCGCTCCAGTATACGCCCATGCCGCTCCAGCTGTGAAAGTAGCCGCCCCAATCGCCTATGCCGCCCCTATTGCCAAAGCTATCGTTGCTGAGGCCCCAGCCAACTACAACTTCGGCTATTCCGTCAATGACCCCCACACCGGAGACAGCAAAACCCAACAAGAATCCAACGACAATGGTGTTGTCCACGGAAGCTACTCCCTCATTGAAGCTGACGGATCCAAACGTATCGTTGAATACACCGCTGATGATCACAACGGTTTCAATGCTGTCGTACACAAGGAACCAGGTGCAGTAGCTGTCAAAGCCGTAGCTCCAGTTGTTGCCAAAGTAGCTGCTCCACTTGCCTATGCTGCACCAGTTGCTCATGCCTATGCTGCACCAGTTTCCCATGCCTATGCTGCACCAGTTTCCCATGCCTATGCTGCACCAGTCGCTCATGCTTATGCTGCACCAGCACACACATACAGCGCCCCATTAGCCCATGGTTACGCCTCCCCTTTGTACCACCATTAATTCACAGGCTGTGAATTATTTAGTGGTTGATCGTCTGTATATATGCAATATTTATTGATGAAAATAAATTAACTTCTTCTCAAGTTGAAATCTTCCTTTGTCTTATTTCTATCATAAGGTATTTTAAAGCACCTTTAGAATGCCTTACAAATATCGAACGTTATATTCAAATATGTAGCCGTTGAATATCAGTTGTTGATTTCATTTTAAACATATTCTAAATTGAGAACTTTTTTGGGGGTCCTTCGAACGTTTAAAGAAATGATCTGATGAACTATGTATTCCGCTGAATATAAAGGTTTTTTTTTCTATTCAGTTGAATTCAGAAAAATTGGATTAAATATAATTTTGTGACATGAATATTGTGAGCCATCTTGGTCTGGTTAACTCCGGGTGGTTCTTGTCTCAAATGGAAAAATATTTTTTGAGTTCAGTGAGTTTTGAAAATATATGGTTTGACGAAATATATTAAGTCGTTTGATTTCAGAATACAAAAAATTTTCATCTGATGAGCAGAAGTTCCGTGGCAAAAATCAAGTTTTTTATCGACCCAATTCAACAATTACCAGCTCAACAACGACACCTTCTGAAACAACTACTTTCATATGAACATTCAATTACATGAAAGTAAAATGATTACTGCACTTTAATATGAACATTGAATTACACAAAAAAAACTCTTTTTCCTATTCAGTTTGTATTCTAAATATTCTTTATGGAATTGAATCAGATATCACTCACAGGAACATTATGACTTCATATCAAGAATGATTCAAATCTACTCATATCACGGTAACAGTATCTAATGACATTCATTAGCTTATTGTTTGAACTGAAAGGGGTGTGTTTCAAGCTCAAGTACACATAAAATATGAGAAACTTCTAAAGGAAGGCAGAAAGCAATTTATTTCAAAATAAACTCTTCAGAAAGATGTGTAGATAATTGATAGAAGTTATTATCAGAAACATACTGGAAGGAAAATTCGTCTCGAAACATCTACTTACAAAATATGAACATTGAATTACACGAAAGGTGAATAAAGATGGAGGAGTAGAAAGTCATAATATAACGTTCTTAATCCATACATTGACATATTAAAGTGAAGCCAAAATTTTTCATCCTGAATAACTTTTGTGAGTAACATTTTGACGTTACATCAACAAAAGGGGCACACTGTCTGGGCCGACGTGTTTTTTAGAGAGTGACAATTTTATTATAATCATAAAAAATGTTCAATCCATAGCACCTAACGTCAATCCCTGGACACACTGTATATAGAACGGACGATATCCAGTTGGTTGGGGTTGTGTTCTGAGGGTTCTTGTTAGTAAGGAGGAGACAACTGGTTTACGCGGACATATACAGTCCATTTCTTTAATGCCCCGCCTTTTATTTTTTGAATGGGTATCCAATATTTGTTTTAGTGACGAATTTACATTTTTTTCAAACGACAATGTTCACAGACAAATATGCCGTTATTGGAGTGACACCAACCCTCACGATTTCCTGGAAACACATACCCAATATCCAGAAAAAATATCGTTTGGGAAGGAATATTGGGAAACCATATTGTAGGACCTCTATATATTAATCAAAATTCAACGAGGGAACTGTATTTTGATATGCTGGAAACTACTGTTGACTCTCTCATCACTGAAATCGTCGAAGCGAATCCTAATGAATTCGATATGGATATTGTATTCCAACAAGATGGAGCACCACCACATTATTCCAGACAAGTAAGAAACTATTTGGATACTACTTTTTCCGGTCGTTGGATTGGTCGTCGAGGTCCTACCGAATGACCAGCCCTCTCGCCAGGTTTGATATCTTTGGACTTTTTTTATGGGGTTATTTGAAGCAAAAGGTGTACGAAACTGAACCTGCTTCAATATTTGATATACGGCAGAGAATAATAAATATTTGTAGAGATATTGACGTTACTGTGCTCGAAAATGTTCGGCGGGAAATATCGGATAGGTTGTTCATATGTCAAGAAGTTCAAGGCAACCATTTCGAGAATCTTCTGAACTGACCTCAAGCTAATTACCTCATATTATGTAGTTAAGTGTCAATGTAATCAGGCAATTATTGAAAGTTCCGCCATTTTGTATTAGGTGAAGATATTGACTTCACATTCTAGGGTTGTGAAGCATTTGTCAGGAGCTTCAAAAAGATGTATCACAAGACCCACTTTTCTATTTAATTTTGTCCCAGATGGCGCCCAGTCGCCATCTTGAAAGTTTCATCTGTCAATTTCACTTCAGAATAAAGTATTCATGCATTAATTTCATTATCCCAAATTTCAATTTTTTGAGTCGACCCGTTCAAAAAATAAAAGGAGGAGACATTAAAGAAACGCACTGTATGAACAGTTATTATGAATGATATATAAAAGTAAATCGAAAACCAACTTGCCTATTATCCTATAATGATAATTGAGTATTTTGAAATGTTTAAAGTGTTTTATCGGAAGTTTTCTGTATGACACAGAACGTGTTTTATATTACGCCAGTTACGCCATATTTCGTTCAGTTACGTATTTCCAGTTCACTTTTCTCACAAACTTATTGTTCACAATCTTGTTATTAAAATACTCAGAAGGTTTCGATGAAAGTCTCGTAACTTTGGTATATTTAATCAATTTTCTCTGATTCAATAAATACCGTTTTTATATTCACAACATACGAATAAACTGTATACAGCAATATATTCAAGAAAAACCCGTACATCAAGGAAACGCAAGATCTGTTGAAAACATCGCCGCTGTCTGTTAGTGTGTGCAGGAGAATCCAAAGCAGTCGTTTTCGCGTCGTTCACAAGAACTTGGCCTTTCGCGAATTTTGCGTCGTGACTTGAGCCTGCACCCGTACAAAATTCAACTAACCCAGGAACTGAAGGAAAGCAACCATAGACAACGACGTGTGTTCGCTGAATGGGCTCTGGAGCAGTTGGCAACTGACCCTAATCTTCATCGAAAATCATCTTCAGCAATGAGACCCATTTCTGGATCAATGGACAACACAATTATCGTATGTGTAACGATAGGTCGATGAATACCAACTTCTTTTGGCCTAGCAACATCGCCTATATCAAGTTGGAATAATTTATACGTACCTAGATATTCTACTTTAAAAGAGACAAAAACAATATCAACAATAAAGGCAAAATATAAATTATAGTTCAATAAAACCTCCTCAAGCCACATAAACAACAGGTGTTTTGTTATTTATTTAAATAGAGGAAGATGGGTTAGGTCATATGTCACAGAATGTCTCGGAACTCGGAACATAACTGAACAGTACAGCACGCATCTGAAATATGTCATCTTTGTTTGTCTCATACAGGTAATAGATTCATTGTCCTTTATTAGCTATAACCGATGAATGCATTATTCCATTCCTATTTTTCGAGTGTTTAAATATTTTTTGAAAGAAAAGAAAAATGCGTTGCTTAGGAGCTCTTTTATGAAAACTACTTGATTTTCGTCAGGAGGAACATTCCCCATTCTAGAAAGGACCTTTACCGATATAAGCCCCTCTTCCCGACCCAAGAGGGCAGTTCAGAAAGTGAATCGAGCGGCTAAATAAGAAATTCAAATAGTGGAAATAAATTGAGCGTGAGTTACTTAGGTTGTGATGAATAAATTAGTTTGTGATTAGTGAAATATTGTTGGAAAAAAATTTTTTTGGGACAGTTAATTCATTAATTGGTCACAATATATATATTTTCATCTATACACTAACACTAACACTAAACACTAACTGTTTTTAAACCTATGTATTCTATGTATTTTTCGTGGAGAATAAACATTATTTTTTTTATATGCGAATGAAGAATAATACCTCAAATTAATTTTTGCATTACAGCCAATAAGTAACAATTGCGATGAAAACTAGGTCAAGATCAATTCTCTCGTTATAACGCATAACTGAACCATTTCTGATAGATAAATCAGTGAAAGTAATTTCGGTATAATATGAAAGAAATACCCCAGAGCAATATCTGATACATATATAAACTATGCAGATGGAAAAAACGAGCATAGTTGAATAGAACTAGTCAACATGGCATTCAAAGTGAGTACCAGATTTCATTTTCTATAATATTAAATGAATCCCAACCAACGACTTGATAATGAAATCGGCAAAATTATGATTATTACAAGTGGATAAGATAAAATAAATGATTCATGTCAACGGTTGTCATATATATTGAATACTACTGTAATTTGATTATGTATTTTCTTTGGTGAATTGTTTGCCATTAAATCATTGTTATTATCTTGAATTTAACGTAATGATCCTACATATAATCGAATTCAATACTTTACCTTTATTGGATGTTTGCTCTAAGTTGAATGTTTTTTCCGTACTAGTTTGATATGACCTCATATAAATGAAAAAATATATAACGTAGTTGGTCACTCACTTACTCACTTACTGATACATTTTGTTCAATTACTTGTTTTATTTCAGTTCATCGTATTCGCTGCCTTCATCGCAGTCGCTCGTGCCGGTGTCCTTTCAGGATACGCCGCCCCCTTGAGCTACGCCGCCCCAGCTGTAGCTAAAGTAGCTTACTCTGCTGCCCCTGCTGTCTCATACTCCAGTGTATCAGCCCCAGTAGCCTCATATGCCAAAGTTGCTTCCCCAGTCTACTCCCACGCCGCTCCAGTCTACTCCCATGCTGCTCCAGTATACTCCCATGCCGCTCCAGCTTACTCCTACGCCGCTCCAGCTGTGAAAGTAGCTGCCCCATTCGCCTATGCCGCCCCCATCGCCAAGACCATCGTTGCTGAGGCCCCAGCCAACTACAATTTCGGATATGCCGTCAATGACCCCCACACCGGAGACAGCAAAACTCAACAAGAATCCAACGAGAATGGTGTTGTCCACGGAAGCTACTCCCTCATTGAAGCCGACGGATCCAAACGTATCGTTGAATACACCGCTGATGACCACAACGGTTTCAACGCTGTTGTACACAAGGAACCAGGTGCAGTGGCTGTCAAAGCTGTAGCTCCAGTTGTTGCCAAAGTAGCTGCCCCTCTCGCTTATGCTGCTCCAGTTGCCCACGCCTATGCTGCACCAGTAGCTCACGGATATGCTGCCCCATTAGCTCATGGATATGCTGCTCCAGTATACCACCATTAAATTTGAATTGTGTTCGGTGTTAATCTTTGTATATATGCTTATTTATTGCAAATAAAGACTGTTGTGCTGCGACAACTCTTTTTTATGTTTCAAAAGGAATAGTTGTGATTTTTTTCAATCACTGGTTTAAAAAATCTGTTTAAAATCTGTTTAAAATCTGTTTTTCCGTTAATCAGCTGCCGCCCCCATACGAACGACAACTCTCAGAAGTTGAGAAACTTGTGCGAGCTAAGGACTAACGAGGTCTTACCTTTTAACGTGTGATTCCTAACACGGTTGAACATGAACTATTCACCATACGGAAACGCCTCCGAAGTCATTAAAAATGTCTGTGAAGTTAAAATGAGTTTTAATGTTTTGAACGAAAGTCATTCTTTGTGGAGGAAATCCGAGTTTTCAAATATAATAAAAACGTCTTGTGATATTTTGAAAAATTCAACGTTAGAAAAATATTCTTTATTTTATTTCGCAATTATGATATTCAAATATTACTGACATTTTTCGACTCCACATCCCATTCCTGAGTCAAGTATTTATGTTTCAATGTGATTGTTAGGGCCCAAAATTCATTCCAAAGAACATTTATTTTTCAATTTTTCTGAACATTTTCATTGATGTAGGAATGAAACTATTGGTTAAAACAATTTATCGAATTGAAGAAAGTAACAGCTCCCCTGAAGTATTAGTCGCGCTAAGGAAAATTCAAAACAGACAACCTTCTGAAGTCCTCAGAAATATTTTCATTTTATATGGTTTTTTTGAATTTTTATATTTCTTCATTCGAAATCAGAAACCTTTTGTAGCGGCCAGAGCATACTTATACAGGGAATTTCATGATGAGCGTTAATTAGCCGTTTCTGACAAACTATTTAACGGATCAACCTGAAAATTTCACAGTATGCATAAATCAATATGACCTACACGCCTAAAATATTTCAGACGAAGCGGCGTTGTCGCTTCTACTATAAAGTAGCGGCTTCTTTGATTTTTCAAATGGAACACCCCGTATATAATATCATATTATGATTCATTATCACTTTGTCAACAAATTCATATACTATTTCCCTATAC